TTCTGGAGATATTTCCTGTCTATGTACGGGCCTTGACAAACCAGGACAGCCAATACATGTATACAGCCATACAGGACAGCCATTGTTGCCTGCTCCTCACCCCCACCCATATCATGCACACATGTGCACACACCTTTGTATGGTAAAGGGTGTATCTCAAATGTCTCTAAAGTAATTTGGTTTTTGTATTATAAGTAAGCTGAAGAGATTTGATATTTAAAGAAACCCTATGATAAATGCTTTTTTTGTAAAGAAAATAATCACCCCTGAGTTTTTAGCTGTGGTATAGTAGAATCAGCTCTGTTGTAATGAAAAGAGCATAGGACTTGGAATCAGATTTGGGTTCAAGTCTTGGCCGTTCTGTTTCTTGACTCTCTGACTTTGGACAAATTGCACCTTCTCTTCTTATCCTCAGTTCCTCCTTTGTAAAATGAGTGAATTTAATTAGTTGATCTCTTAAGGTCTTTTCCAGTTGTAACATTCTCATATCTTGATTATGGTTTTTCATATTTCTAATTTGCTCCAAGCAAGGTGAACATGTATATGTGCATGTGTGTATATGTGTACATGTAAATGCATACATGTCCCATCTCCTATAGTCCTTTTCAACAGTCACAACTCTGAAAACTTTTTGGTTAGGTCTTAGTAAGGGGCAAGGAAAACCAGAGGGATCCTATCGTAAAGATATCTTCATGACATGAGAAAGTCGGGTAGTGCCCTGTTGAGGAGATGATACTACAGAGAAAGGAAGAGGGAGGCCAGGCCTTCATTCTCTTATCCTCTGTATGGGTCTTTTCTAGGGGTACAACTGCAGTGGATGGGGCCGGATTTGGCATTGACCGACCTGCTGAGCTCTCTAAAGAAGATGATGAGTATGAGGCATTCCGTAAAAGAATGATGTTGGCATATAGATTCCGACCTAACCCGCTGGTATGGTGATGTTTTTATAAGCAAAACAGATCCTTCTTTCTAGCCACTCTTCCACACCTACTGAATGCGTTAGAGTTGTATATTGCTTTACCTCTCAACACCCTGGTGAGGCAGGTATTGAAAGTAACATTCCCATTTTCCAAATGTGCAGATTGAGGCTAAGAGATTCTGTGACATAGGCGCACAATTGTAAGCATCAGTGAGGATACTAGTCTAATTTTTCTGACTCTGGTGTTCATTCTATAGTAGGCTGCCCCTAAATTTGGCAATTAGGGAATGAGATATAATGTGTGCAAAAATGCTTTGAAAAATACAAAGAACTGTGCAAAAAAAGGATCGTGTTTCAGCAAGCCAAATCATAGTCTTCTGTGAAGTATGCACATACATATCTTCCTGTTGGAAGGTTTCCTTTTCTTCTTTTCTCCTTTTGAGTTTTCATCTAGCAACTATAGTCTGATTACTCAGAATAGAACATGATGGAGAGCTTACTTTGAGGTTATTTTTAACAGCAGAAATTTGATTCAGCTGACACCCAGATAGACCAAGTATTAACACATTCCCCCCCAATACAAAGGAACTGCAGTTGGTCGGAAGAGAGCCCATCAAGCTTTGTTCTAAATGTGAATTTCTCTTGGGCTGAAGAGCACACCTCTGTTTGACTCTTGCTCTAGGTTGCACTTTGCAGGGTGGGGAGAAAGCGGGGCTTTGCCTTCCTCTTGTCCTCAATTCTTTTCATTAATTTTATAGGTGAGGTGTTTACTGGCTAATTCTGGGTGTAACTGATATGATTATATCTGTAAATATTAATACTCTTTCTCCTCCTTTTTTTCCCTACAGAACAATCCCAGAAGACCTTACTACTGAGTATTTTCCCCAAAAAAGTATTTTCAGTACAAATATAATTTTACTGTGAAATGTTACAGAACTGCATTATTCGCACCCCCATACCCTGTCTTTTTTTCTTTGTTGCAAATATTGTAAAATGTATTAAAAGTCACAGTACTCTCCTTCACCCGGAACAGTGTTGTAGCACCAACAGGTGGGCACACAAACTAACATATGATTCCTTGATGACAGCATCCTTGTGAAGGTGGCAGTATCATAGAGGAATGAATAGGAAAGGTTAAGTTGGAAACTTTCCTATAATAGCCTTTCCAAGGGGAAACACCAAAGAATTCATTAAGAATCCTCTAATGTTCTATTGAGAGATATGTCCTTACCAGCAATGATTAGAAACATAGAATGTCCAAACTGGTTGGAATTTAGAATATATAACATGGAAAGCTGCAGGGACCTAAGAGATCTAATCTATCCCTCTCGATTTACAGATTAAAAAAAAAAAACAAAACCCTGAGGTCCAGAGAATGAGGCTGATACCACACAGCAATTTCATGGCAGAGCCAGGACCAGGTCCCAGATCCTCTATTGTTACATTCTAAACTGCGGCTTAAGTAGCAGGTTTACCTTGAGGTTGTTGTCCTCAGGCTAGGAGGCAACAGACAAAGACTTTTCCAACCACAGTCTAGTTTTCCTTTCCCTTGCTTAGGATACTAGTCAGCACCTTGGACCTTGCCTGCCCTAACTCTTGGGAGTATATCTGGAATAGCCCAGCACCTTCCTTTGTGAACAAAGAGGAGGCTCTGTACCTCCAGGAGCCCCTGGGAGGGTGTGTGCCCTTATTTTCTACCTCCTGTGAATATGGGGTCACCTGAAGGCTCCTTCGTGACTCTTTGTGAGGGGTTCCCTCTCAGTGACCAACTTGACTATCTGAAGGAGAACTCAGGTTCCCTGAACAGTAAAACGTTCTATGCCTTACACATACACAAGGGGCCTAATTAGCTTCCTTTCTATATACTATTTAGTGTGCACCTTCTTTTCTGCCCTCCTACCCCAGATGTTCTTCTGTAACTCAGAGCCCTTGAATATGCTTGTTCTCCAGTTAGAGCCTCTTGAAATCCTGTTTTCTGCATGGTGAGGTTTTCCAAATTGGTATGGTGCTTGACTTGCTGAGGAATATGTGGTTTCTTTAGGGTTCACAACAGAACCTGGCCCTTGGGTAAAATCAGCATGTTATATATTTTAAGCTAAAGGCTTTTCCCAGTATTTTCCCTGAGAGTTCAATCCACTTGGGATCAATTGATTTACTTTATAGCTTCTACTTTTTTCATAAAAGGAAGAAGTCAGATAGCTTCAAGGTCTTTTTCAGCTCTACCAGTCTACTTTCTCAGATGCCTTACCACTCTTATGTTCTGTGCTCCAAAATCCTTTCCAAGTGAGCATAATTTCTACTTTTGGGACCTAATCCCAAGATTCACTGAGCCTTAGATCACTCTTTAAAGACAGTAAAATATGCCAGGTCCCTTAGCAGTGGCCTGGGTCTCTTCCTAAACTCTTCCACTTTGGAGCTAAGAGGAATCTTGGCATGTCCAATCCACTTTTCCATTTCCTAGCCCACTAGCATTTATCTAATTTTTGGCTGCTTTCAAGTCCTTGCCATCTTAGAATCAATTAGCAAGCATTTATTAAGCTTCTACTATATGCCAAGCATGGTGCTGGGCTGGGGAGATGAAGACAAAAATAAAACATCTCTGCCCTCAAGGAACTTGGAGTTTATCAGGAGAAAACTACATGTACACAAGGAGGCGGGGAATACAGGAAGGGGAGGCACTAAGGAAGGCTTCTTGTAGAAGGCAGCACTTGGGCTGAGTTTTGAAGGAAATTTGGGATCCTAAGAATTTATAAATAAGTTTCAGCCCCGCTGTGAAGGGCTTTTGAGACATGATGAAAGGTCATCTTCATTTTCTAAAAGGTAACCAGATGTTCTTAAGTCAGACAGCGTGGTGTAGTAGCAGAAGACTGGACTTGGGAATCAGTTTCTGCAGTCACTTATTTTACAGTTGAGGAAACCAAGACCAGAAGGAGCCTCCTAAGTTCCAGGGTGAGGCTTTGGAGCCCAGCCTCCTGACTGCCATTGTGGGATTTTGGCCCAGTCTGCTCACCTTTTCTAGTGTGTTTTCTTTATCTGGAAAATGCCTCCTATTATTGTTATGACAATGAGTGCCATATGAATATGAAAGGAATCCTGAAACCTGCTTGTGGTGTCTTAGAATTTACCAGCATCTTAAAGTTGAGGAGACCTCAGAGCCCATTGAACGCAACCTGTGCCTGGTGAGCAAGGATCCCTTTTACAGTGTTCCTGCAGCAGCTCCTTCTAGTTTTCAATATCTCTTAAGTGTTACAAATTTTACCTTCTATCAAGCCAGAATCTGCGTGTACACTGTCTGCCTGCTGTGACTAGTCTTGTCCTCTGGATTCAAGCAGAACTCCTTTCTCTTTTCCAAATCACAGGCCTTCAAAAGAGATACTTGGTGATAGGAACTGTCGATCTGTTCTTTCTCTACCAAGCTAAATGTCCCCACTTCCTTCACCTGAACCTCATAATGGGCTGATTTCTAGTCCTGCCCCATCCGATTCACTCTCCTGCGTACTCCAGTTTGTGTGTCCTACCTAAAACGTGCCCAGAACTGATCTGGGATATTACAGGTGTGGGCTGCCCAATTAAAAGCTATTTTTTCAACATCTGCTGTATGCCAGGCACTCTGCTAGGTCCTGGCCATACAAACACAAAAATGAAACATTCCCTTGCCCTCCAGAGTTTACATTGTATAGGAGGAGAGCTAAGGACAGTGTGACTACTACCCACGTTCTGGGAACAAGACCTCTCCTAATGCCTCTGAATTTCCAAACCCTTTCCCCTCTCACCCCAGTTTAAGCCCTGCCATAAGCACTCCAGTAATCTATTTCCACATATATCCCCTTGTTATGAATAGATGCTTGTGCTTACAAACCATGTCTTTTTTGTCTCCCCTAGTGTCCAGCACAAGGCCCCCTGTACACAATAGGAATCAATATTTGTTGAGTTGAAATTTGGTGTCACCCTTTTGGAAAGAGAACTGTTGGTTTTAACTGAGGTCCTAAATGTAACATAAAGCAATGATTATATGATGTGAGACTCATATTAGGGGTGGGAGGGGGGAATGGGAGAAAGAAAAGCAAAGTGGTAGGGGAGCTTTGGGGTACCCTTGAAATTACACCCTACAGAAGGTCACTTCCTCTGCTTACAAAGAGATGGATGGCTGGTGTCATGTCTTGGTCTCTTTTCTTATACTGTCTTTGAAGTGAAAGCATTCTGGGCTAAGCCCCCAAGGCCCCTGCACAATTTGGTATGGTAAAGCACTGGCCTGGCAAAGAGTGCCTAAGTCTCAAGTGCCAGTTCCATCACTACCTTGGGAAAGCCTCACTCAGTTTTCTCATCTGTGAAATGGGGATAATAATCCCCAGCCTGCCTCCTTCATCCAGTGTTGTGAAAATCAATGAGGTGCTGGTTATGCAAGTGCTTTATAAACTTTTAAGCTCCATATTCATGTGAAATTCTTACCAATAATCACAATGCTGATGTTCTTGGTTAAGACAGCCAGGGTTCTTGTATCCTTCAAACTCTTGTCTTGCTTTTTCTTTCTTCTCTACAAGAGGCTTCCATTTCTAGCTAGAGCATGCCAAACTGGCAGTACCTTGGAGGCCATCTTGTTTTTCATGACCCTCACTTTTGTCAACTGCAGCATCTGCTAAGTGCATACTGCATGAGAAGTCAGTCCGTTTTCAGGGAGCTTACAAACTAGTAGGAGAGTTAAGGTATGCATGCATTATTTAAATCTAAGTACATAGAGATAGGGATACTTGAGAAGTCTGAGCTAAGGGGCTTGTTAAAAAATGTATTGCTTTTTTTTTTTTTTTAAACATTTTCAGATCCTTCCCTTCCCCTCTCCCACCCTGAGAGCCATTTCTTTTAATGAGGAAACATGGGTTGGGCAAGCAATTTAGCAAAATCTACAAACACTTCAACTGAGTCTGGCAGTATGTGCGATGTTCCACACACACAGTCCCCTGACCTCTTCAGAAAAGGAAGGGAGGTGCCTTTTCTCATTGTTTCTTCAGGGATAAGCTTGGCCTTATATAAGGTTCGTTTTCAATTTTTTTTTGTCCTTTTTACTTATTTTGTAATTGTGTGTTACTTTCCTGGTTCTGCTTACTTCATTTTGCATCGGTTCATGTAAGTATTCCCATGCTACCCTGAATTCTTTCTAGTTATCATTTCTTAAGGCACAGTAATATTCCCATTACATTTATGTCAGAGAGGCAGCATGGTACAGTGGATCTTGGTTCAAGTCTTGCCTCTGGTACGTACCTGCTGTATGACCCTGGACCATTCTCTCGAGCATTTAGTGCTGTAGGCCAGCACTTTTTAAACTCTGGATCAAGACACCATATAGGGGCAATGGTAAAAGGTTCCTGAATTCACAGTGACTAAAAGTTAATTAAAAGTCAAAACAAGTAACAAATCTGAGGTGTTTCTGGTGGCACTTGCTCATGTTGCTTCTGGCAACTTCACTTGGTTCTGAACATAAAGCACGGGCACTTTGCATTGCACATGCCCTCAGGCCAGGCAACATCAAGGAATGCTGCCAAACTCAAGAAGAATTCTCAGTGGAAAAAGTTTAAGAATCCCTGTCGTAGGCAACTCCTTAAAATTACTAATTGCAGATGAGGTACCTACCTGTATTGTTAGAGGGACTTGCCTCATATGGAAGCGTCTTGTGGCAGTGACAGATAGGTTCAGTCACTCATGTGGGGCCAACCTTCAAAAGCTCAGAGCTTTCTGAGCCAATGGCACTTTATTAAAGGGTCCATGGTGTCCCCTCTAATGAAATGGAGCGCAGATCTTCCTCACGAGCTGGGATGTCATCTTCCAGGGCCCTTATTTTTATAGGCCTTGATATCTAGACATTCAAGGGATGGCTGTATCAAATACAGAATAATTCTGTGGGGTGACATGATGCCTAGGCTAAAATAAGCAAAACAGTATATTAGCAGGGTTATGGATTGGGTAAGGAAGGAAATAGCTCTGCTGACTAGGTAGTCACAAGATGGATGGGCTACTTCTAAGTTTGGTCAAAAGAAAAGGAAATGGTACAGGCTATACATATGCTCCAAGAAAATTTCAAGGGAAACTGAGGGGCTTTCTGTGTCATGCCTCAACTCATGTTTGGTAGAGTCATGGAAATTGAGCTAAACGGGATGGAGATATCTGTGTTGTTGTTCTTTCGATCTTGTGGTTACTTGCGTAAACTCCATAGTTGGTAAACAAGTAATAACCATTATATTAAAGCTTGAGGCCCTATTGGCCTTCCTATTAGAAACATACAAAATATGGATTAAGAATAATTAGGTGACTGACTAAATATGTATTACTAGATAAATATAATAAAAATAATTTCTGACAGTCATACCTTATGAAATTATAATGAACTGGCTAATACTGATTAGAGTTTGAGTAGGGGTCCTCAAGGAATCAACTTCATACATTGAATTGGCACTAAGCACTTACTATGTGCCAGACATTCTACCAAGCACCAGGAATATACAAAGAAAGGCAAGGACAGACCCTGCTGTCAAGTCACATTCTAATGGGGAGACAATGTGTATGTAGGTTGGTCTGCTGTAGATGAATATCGAGGTGACCTCCTTGGCATATATGCCTAGTAGTGGACCTCTGGGACAAAGGTTATGGACATTTTTAGCCACTTAGTTTGTTAGCATAATTTGAAATTGCTCTCCAGAATGGTTAGACCAATTAATAGCTGTACCAGCAAGTGTGTGCTAGGCAAGCATTGATTAAGCACTTATCCCAGGCACTGTAATAATTTATGAGGTTTCAAATAAAGGTAAAAACTCTGCCTTCAGGGAAGTCATTCTGATGAGGGAAACAATGTGTAAATAAAACAGCCCCTCTAGTGTTGCCTGTTCCCTTCTTTTGTGATATTTGCCAACATACTGGGTGTGAGGGGGAATCGGAATTGTTTGGATTTGCATTTGTTTCGTATGATAGAAATTATCTGTTTTATCTTTTGTGATTGCCGTTATCAGAAGGGATAATTTTTTAACTTGGGGTGGAGGATTCATGGAGTAGTTAGAACCTGAGCTGGGCCTTGAAAGAAGGATCTCAACAGATAAAAATATGAAAAATTCATGTTCTGGACATGATAGTGATGAGGAAAGATATGCATAAATGTACAGCTGTGGAAAAGGGCAGAATGAAATCGTGGAGATGGAAGATAGTACAATTTGGCTGGCATGTAGTTAAACGTGAGTTAAATCTGGAAAGACAGGTTGAAATCTGAAGGGGAAGGAGGGTGTTAAATGTTAGCTTAAGGAATTAGTTTTATTCTAAGAAGGTAGGGAGTTATTGAAGATTCTTGAGAAAAATTGATCTGCACATGAAGATCATAGATTTAGTACTGGAAAGCGCCTTGGAGTCTGAAACTAGCCCCATCATTTTAAACATGAGGAAACATTCCCAAAGAAGTCAAGTGACTTACCCATGGCCACACAATGGATATGTGGCAGAGGCGGGATTTGAGTTCTCCAACTACAAATCCAGCACCTTCCACAACAGTGAAATGAAAATGACATTGGCAAAGGATGACTGGATAAGGGAGAGACTAGATAGCTGGATAGAACATTTATTAAGCATTTAGTATGAGCGAGCCACAAACTAAGAGTCCCTGCCCTCAAGGAGCTTACATTCTAATGGGAGGCTCAGAGACATCCATTAGTAATATAGTCCAAGTAAGGTGATGGGTGTCCGAATCAGGTTGGTAACAGTGTGATTATTGAGAAAGGAGTCTATAAATTTCAGAGAGGTCTGTGGTCTTGAATGGTTAAAAAAAAAAAAAACCCAACCCAAAAACATTTTTATTTTCTATAACCTCTAACAAATTTAACATTCCTTCAATTCTGAATGTAGGCAACAAACTTCTGAGAAAGGGCCCATATGCCTTACCAGATAGGCAAAGGGATCCATGACCCAATCCTCTCATGTTATAGATAAGAAACAGGCCCTTGGGGCTGTCCCTAGAACTGTATTACCCATCTTCTCAGGTGGAACAAGGTCCAGGAAAGGGCATCTCCTGCCCAGAGAAGTGTGGCCTCTGAAGGGTCCCCTCTCTGTAGATGTAGTTTAGGGGAGCTCTCCTTTGTTTCATTCATACCTAAGTTGCCCAGGATCTATGCTTCCCACTGCATTGAATTGTTTTTTATCTGTGGACATCAGGAACTTGGAATCTGCCCTACTTTAGGCAGAGGACCACTGGGTGGGAAGTGAGCACTAGAAGGGGGCATTTTGGCACCCTGGTCAAAGCTCAGGTTGCCCCACCCTAACAATGGTTATTGATATTAGAGCTCAGTCTAGAAACTCAGCTTCCTGACTGAGGGTTCTTTTCATCAGGCCATACTAAATTCTTGTTCAAAGGGCAAAATTGGGAACTCTTAGTCTGTTTAAAGCCAGGTTTCTGTAAACCACAAATATGATTAAGAGAAGGAACTTTGAGGCCATTAATTAGTAAAGAAGGTACAATATGGCCATCCAGGGAAAGGTGGATTTAAATGCCCTCCAGCTTAGCTGACCTCTGGGTGAAAGACCTTTGTTTTCTTCTGTTTATGATCAATTTCAGTGGAGGAATCACCTAGTACAGATTCCTTTTTTTCTTCAGGACAACCCACTTGGCCTCTCTTGAGCACCGTCCTTGCAAAAAATTCACGCAAAGTTTAGTGAGAACGCTCCCCCAGACATCAAGCTATTTCTGTGGAGGATGGTAGAAATTAAACTGCCTTTTCATTTCGGAGCCCTGTGTTGGGAGATAGGGGGCAGTACAATGATGAAATGAGACCTGCTCTCAATCTCAGAATACTTTTCTTTGTTTTATGGGTTTGTGAAGAAAAGAGAGTGTAGGGATCATGTTTTATTTCATCAGATCTCTCGAAGGAAATAAAATAACTAGAGGAGAAGGCAGAGGTGCAAACGTCTAATAGTTTCATCATTTATAAAATGTTAAGGGGTTAGAATAGATATCTTAGGACTCCCACATATTGGGATTCCATGGTCTTTTAAGTCTGATACACAGATCTTAAAAGATCTTCAAAGCTAGAAGCAATCATAGAGATCAGTCAGTTCATTTACCTCATTTCACTGATAAAACTTGTTCTCTCCATTAGGGAACGTTGCCTTTGTTTTTGGTCTTTTTTGGGGGGGGGGGCGTGGATTTCCAGGTGGGGTGAATGAACTATTTGATTTGGCCTGGGAAGGCATGGCCCAAACCTGTCCTCAAGATTATTTCAGGCAGGTCGATTAGTCATGGACTCCCTTTCCCTGGTACACCTAAGTTGTGTGTGGTGGAGGAGGCCAGGGCTGCAACTGGGAGGAGGGTGGGTGTGGCTGTGAGAGAGTAGAGGTCACAGCCCCTTTAAAGGCCGGCGGAGATGTCGAAACCTTGGGTCGAGGGGAGGGATCAAGGACTGCCGGGGAAGAGCGTCAGTGACCTTTGCATGGGGCTGGGCCACCCGACGGGTGGCGTCGGGGCCTCGGGCCTGGAGTGTTAGGCTCCCAAGCTGACAGCCCAGGGAAGAGCCAATTCCTTACGATACCCGGCGGATCCACCTGAGCCTGGGTGGGACGTCTGGCCAGATCGGGCAGGAGCCCCGGGGCGAGGACAAGGCAGCCAGCTAGCGGATTGGACAGGCGAGGACCTGGAGAAGGAGCATCGGACTGGATCCGACCGCACCGACCCGCACCTGGCCAGGTGGCATCTACCTTCTGACCTGCCGCCACCGAACTCCTCCGCAGCCATGGAGCTCCCCGAACTCTCCGGAAAGGTCGTCGCCTTCTCCCTTACCGCCTTACCTGTCTGCTACGCTTTGAACCACCTCTCTGAGTTTTCCCAGTGAGTGCTGGGCACGGAAGGGGGTAGGGAGGGGAGTGAGGAGGGCGAAGAAGAACCCTGACTTACAGTGTGATTGAGGGAATTTTTTTTTAAGGGGAGGGGGTCGGCTCAGTGGAGGCCAGTGCCAGGGGTGTGGGGGATTTAATCACTTCAGGAGATTGGCCTTCATTAAGTGGGAGCTA